TGAATGGAGATCTTCATAATCTTATAAAGCAAAGGTGGATATCTGGGTTTCCCAGCACCATTTGTTAAAGAGACTGTCTCTTCCCTATTTAATGGATTTTGGCCCTTTGACAAAAATCAGCTATCCATAGGTGAATAGATTTACTTTTGGGTTCTCAGTTCTGTTCCATTGGTCTGGGTGTTTCTCATTGTACCAATGCCAGGCTGTTTTGACTACTGTGGCTATATAGTAAGTTGAGATTGATAAGTGTGAGGCCTGCCACTTTGTTCTTCTTTAGTAGTACCTTGATTATCCTAAGGTCTGTTTCCTTTCCATATAAAGTTGTTGATTAGTTTTTCCATCTCTTTAAAGAATGTTGATGGAATCCTGATCAGGATTGCATTATTTCAATAGGTTGCTTTGGGCAGTATTGACATATTCACAATGTTAAGTCTTCCTATCCATGAGCATGGTATGTTCTTCCATTTATGTAGATCTCTTGGTTTCTTTCAGTAGTGTTCTTTAAGTTTCTTTGCATAAGACATTTCTATCACTAGTTAGGTTCATTCCTAAGTATTTCATCTTTTTGGTATCTATTGTAAATGATATTGTTTTCCTGATTTCCTTTCCCGAGTTTTGCTGTTAATATAGATGAATCTGAGTGGTTTTTTGTGTTAATCTTGTACCCTGCCACTTTGCTTATCATTCTACTAGTTCCAGTAGCTTTCTTATAGAGCCTCTGGGATTTTCTATGTATAGGATAATATCATCTGCAAATAGGAATAGTTTTACTTCTTCCTTACCAATTTGGATGGCTTTTATTTACATTTCTTGCCTTATTGCTCTGTCTAGGACTTCCAATATAAACAAGATCTGTACCTCACACCTTATACAAAAACTAATTCAAGATAGATCAAAGACCTAAATGTAACACCTAAAACTATAAATATCATCAAAGAAAAAATAGGGGCAAATTTAGTGGCCCTGACTTGTGGTATTAAAAAAGTGTATAAGCTTCTTATGGCATAAAGAGCTCTGGTGGTCCAACGATTAATGTACTTGACTGCTAACCAAAATTTCAGCAGTTCAAACCAACCAGCCACTTCGGGGGAGAAAGATGAGGTAGTCTGCTTCCGTAAAGATACACAGCCTTGGAAACTCTGTGGAGCAGTTCTACTCTGTTCTATAGGGTCACTATGAGTTGGAATTGACTTGATGGCAGTGGGCATCTCTTAATTTGTGACATAAATAGACTATCAAACATAAACAAAAATACACCGACAGCAGAAGATAAACTAGATGACTGGGACCTCCTAAAAATTAAAGTTACTCACATGAAAAACTTCTCCAAAAGAGTAAAAAGATAACTGACAGGCTGGGGAAAAATACTGGCAATGATATATTGGACAAGGGAGTAATCTCCAAAATTTATAGAAAACTTCAACACCTCAAGAACAAAAAGAAAGTCCTGTTAAAAATTGACAAAGAACATGAACAGACACTTCAAAGAAGTCATGTGACCAACAAGCACATGAACACGTGTAATCATTATCTATTATCGAGAATCAAATCAAAACAAAGAGGTAACATTTCACCCCAGCAATAATAGCAGAGTTCAAAAAACAGAAAACAACAAATGCTAGCAGGGTTGTGAAGAGATTAGAAACCTCTTACACTTCTCTTGGAACTGTAAAATGGTACAACTACTATGGAAAATGGTATTGTGCTTCCTTAAAAAATTG